GCACACTTGGTCGACACTTTCATTGAGCTCTTCACCACGACCCCAAGATCCTTTCCCCTCTCAGTCTTGGAAAGTTCAGACCCCATGACCCCATACTTCAAGTTGCTAATTGGTAAAAAGCATAAGGGCAGAATGTGAAGAGCTGGTTATGAGAGCAAACATAGCCAAGGGAAAAGAAAGAAGGGCAATCTGAGTTAACGTCCTTCAAACTTATTTGCTCATTTAAATATTTATACTTGCAACTCAACTCGTATTAAAGAATAGTTACACAGCACCTTATGGCATTCATTAAAGACAACAAACCAATTACACTATTTAAGAAATTGTCAGCCACCTTGGGACTTCGGGGGTGTGTGTGTGGCAGCATTGGAAGGTGGGTTAAAAAAATTTCAATAAATAAAGCAGCAGCCGTCTAAGGTTGCTGCCACACATACTAACTAATCCACTTTCAATTCACTTTCAGTGCACTTTCCAACTGGATTTTTACTGTGTGAACTGCTGGCAAAATCCGGTTGGAAAGTGCGTTGGAGGCGAATTGAAAGTGGATTATTTAGCGTGTCTGATTGCAGCCTAAGATCATTCATAAAAGCAGGTGTTGTTGTAATTGCTGAGAGTTTACACATGACCAGAACAGGTCGACTTTCTGAAAGCCGCCATTCAACAGATGGTTTGTCACTGGCTTACCGATAATTTTTTTTATTCTTTAGACCTAAGGTGCGTCACTCCGCTATCACCTGCGAGCGTTTTCAATTTTCGGTCTCCGTGAAAAGAACAGAAAGAGATACAAAGATGCCTATCCTAGAGAAAGCCACGGAGGAGAAGAAGAAGAAGAAGAAGGAGAGCCAAAGCCAAGATGAGACGGTAGGTGTTTCTGGAAGACGGTGCTTAGAGGAGGATGCTGGATAAGGCTTAATCATTAAAGGAATTCCGAGCAAGGAAAGAGCTTCCAAGTCAGTAGGAAATGGTTGGAATGCAGTGCTGTCCAAAGTAGAGCTACACCTTTCCGAGTGCATCGAAGTCAATAAGCTTGGACATGAGTAGCCGCTTAGGCCTGCACGCCTTCTCCGTGCCAGTTCCAAGCATGGGGAGATGTCTGCGTTTGCATTCAGAAATTCAAGAGCGTGTAAGAGGGGGAAGTGACTAGCGCAGCATGTAGCAAATCGGATTCTCTTATGATTAGAGAACGTTTAATTGATAGTCATCCCCATTTGAATCAAGCTAGTTTCAGGGCAGAAGAAGGAGAAGAAGAAGGAGGAGGAAGAGAAGAAGGAGAAGAAGGAGGAGGAGGAGGAGGAGGAGAAGAAGGAGAAGGAGGAGGAGGAGGAGGAGAAGGAGAAAAAGGAGGAGAAGAAGGAGAAGAAGAAGAAGGAGAAGAAGAAGGAGGAGGAGGAAGGAAGGAAGGAAGGAGAAGAAGAAGAGGAGGAGGAGATTGGATTTATACCCCGCCCTTTGCCAGTACCCGAAGGAGTCCCAGAGCAGTTTACAATCTCCTTTCCCTTCCCCTCCCCACAACAGGCACCCTATGAGGTAGGTGGGGTTGAGAGAGCTCTTTGAGAACTGCGGAGGCGGGGCTGAGAGAGCTCTGACAGAAATGGCTCTTTTTCGAGGACAGCTGTGCCAGAACTATGGCTTGCCCAAGGTCATCCAGCAGGTGCAAGTGGAGGAGTGGGGAATC